TTATATATATATATATATATATATATATAAAAAATAATTTCTTTATAAACAGTTATGTTATTCAAGTAATCCCAAAAGAGACTCTGTGTACATTTTATGTATGCACATGTTATGAAGATCATTCTCAATACTTGTTATTGGTATTGTATCTATTAATTTAAAATAAAATAGTTCTATGTGAATACAATAAGCAAAACAGTATTACAATAAGCAAAACAGTATTTGAATGCCAAACACCTAAGTATAACGCTATCCTTACTGAATTCAGATGATTCTAACAAATAAATGTGGAAGCCAGGGCTATATGCATTCCATGAGCTTATCATATTTTTCTTTTCCTTAGAGAGAAGAAAAAGAAAAAAGAAAAGAAGAGGTAAGACAAAGAGTAATAACACTACTATTTCTAAGACATTTAACTTCTTTCCAGTTATGTTTTGACTTAGTCTGCAACAACTGAAAATGCAAATCTATTTCTTAGCAAGTCAGAAAAAAAAAAGGATGGAGAAACACAAAAGAACAAGGAAAAAAAGGAGAAAAACAAAAATAAAGATAATTCCAAGAAGAAAGAAAACAAAGAAGATAAAGAAAATAAAGAAGAGTAAGTATTTTTCATTAGGTCCTGTAGGTCTGCTATGTCTAATAAAATTGGTTTTGATGTTAAACTGAATCTATTCATGAACATCCTGTAAACAAGATGGTTATACTCTAGTGAATGAGTGTACAGACTGCTGTTGTTCTCCCTAGAGTTGTTTTGATTTAACTTCATATGTGGACAACAGAAATATGTATGAGTGGAATTGATCAGAAAAAATAATCAAGAAAAATCTCCTTTGGATTCTGACTATCTGATATTTTTTGGATAACACCCTGCAGCAAAAGATGTGCCAGCATAAAGCAATCTCTTTCACACATAAGGCCACCTACAAGCAAGTAAACTCTTCTATGATCTAAAAGTTCTTTCTTTGCCTTTTGCTTGGTAAATTCATAATTTTCTGGCCAAGGAAGAGCAACTTAAAATAGTGCAGTAGGAACTCGTGTTGTATGATTTCATGTTCTTTGGTTTCTTTATGTAAACTATACCAATGTTTTCATCTTTCACAGAGCAAGATTTTTCCCATTGAGAAAAGCATGATTTATCTCACTTATTTAAACAGTAGTCACATAATTTTATTTTTTGAAAGATGATCAAATCAATTATCAGTTAATTGGGTAGGAAAAATTAATTTTAAAAGGTTTAAATTGCATGTGGCACTATAAACTGAAGTGAGACTGCCAAGCTGATTTTGCTCAGCAAAATTTAGATTCTAAAGTCTGCATCCCAAGTCACACCTAATAAGCAGCTTTGTGTGCTCCATGCATTCAAGCAAAGAAGCTTAACTTTAATAAGGACCATTTATTCTACCATAACAATTCTGGAATGCTTCATTCCTCAAAAAATTGTTATGAGTATTTTAAGTCTCTCATTAAATCTCCTTTTTTTCCCCTGCCTATCACTTAGGAAGAAGAAAGATATTTTCGTTATTGATCCAGCAGGAAATATGTATTACAACTGGTTGTTTTGCATCACAATGCCTGTCATGTACAACTGGACCATGATTATTGCTAGGTGATGTACTTCTTTTATGACTATATAAAACTTCTGGAAAATCATAATATCCCTAAATAGATACAAAATCATTTTATCCATCACTGATTTCATGCAAGCATTTCATTTTCATTTCATGGTAATTTACTTTTGTATTTGCCTATTCAGAGCCTGTTTTGAGGAGCTCCAACATGACTACTTAGGGGTATGGTTTATTATTGATTATGTTTCTGATGCCATCTACATTGCTGACATGTTTGTGAGGACAAGAACAGGTAAGTATACTCAATGATTAATTATTCACCTTCATATACTTGTGTCAGGTGTTTTAAAATACTCAGAATAATACCACTCTTATTATCTGGGTACCAATAATGAGGTGCAATGGTGCAAAAGACATTGAGCTAGATCTCTGTAAGATGGCAGTCTGTGACCTGTAAAAACAGGAGAAACTCTGCTGTATTACTCAAAGGATACATATAGCCTGAAGTAAGATAGGCATGAGGTAAGAGATACAAGCTGCTCTGCTTGCAGCTGACTCAATAAGACAAAATAAACATGCAGTGTGGCCAAGTGAGGATCAGTGTTTCTGAAAAATTAGCACCTAAATCTGGATTTTGTATTTAAGGAGATTCAAGTATTTGCTTGATTTTCAAGACCACTGAGCAAGCAAGACATCTACTTAACTTCAGCTGCAACTGTTTATTTTAAAATCTTATCCTACATCCAGAGCTATTGAGTAAATGCACTTGATATAGAACTGAAATTCCCATGTTCAAATTCTTGCCCTCATTAACCACTCTTCCTACAGCCTGTGGAGTTTTTGTGGGGTTTAAGGTTTTATTCCAGATGTTTGCCATAGTGGAAAAGTAGAGGGAAAGAATCAGAGCTAGAAATGTTTAATTTTCAAAGCTGTGTAGTTTAGCTCAAGCTGAACCATATAGCACCAAGTTGAATATTTGGAAATAAGAAATTGATTATTAAAAAGTAAGAGAAGTTATGTACCATCTGGAATTTGCACCCAAAGTATTTTTCAAAGTAGATTTGGATTGACATTAAACACAACACCCCCCAAGTCATTACATTTTTTATTATTTACAATTTGATTTTAGGTTACCTGGAGCAAGGTCTTCTAGTGAAAGAAGAAAAAAAGCTTCGAGATAAATATAAGTCATCTTTTCAATTCAAATTAGATTTTCTGTCAATCATACCAACTGATCTCTTATACTTTGAGTTAGGACTGAATTACCCAGAATTAAGATTAAACAGACTGCTCAGAGTAGCTCGGATGTTTGAATTCTTCCAGAGAACAGAAACAAGGACAAACTACCCAAATATCTTCAGGATCTCTAATCTTGTCATGTACATTGTGATTATTATTCACTGGAACGCCTGTGTGTACTACTCGATCTCAAAAGCCATTGGATTCGGGGCTGATACATGGGTCTACCCTAGCATCTCTGATCCTGAATTTGCCCGTCTGATTAGAAAGTATGTCTACAGTCTCTACTGGTCAACATTGACTCTGACTACTATCGGTGAAACACCCCCTCCTGTAAGAGATTCTGAGTATTTCTTCGTGGTCATTGACTTCTTGGTTGGAGTATTGATTTTCGCTACCATTGTTGGTAATGTGGGCTCTATGATCTCCAACATGAATGCTGCCAGGGCAGAGTTTCAAGCAAGGATTGATGCTATCAAGCAGTATATGCACTTTCGGAATGTGAGTAAAGACATGGAAAAAAGAGTTATAAAGTGGTTTGACTACTTGTGGACAAACAAAAAGGCTGTGGATGAAAGGGAAGTCTTGAAGTACCTGCCAGATAAACTACGAGCAGAGATTGCAATCAATGTTCACCTGGAAACACTAAAAAAAGTGCGTATTTTTGCAGACTGTGAAGCTGGTCTGTTGGTTGAACTGGTTTTGAAACTCCAGCCGCAAGTATACAGTCCCGGAGATTATATTTGCAGAAAAGGAGATATTGGACGAGAGATGTACATTATCAAAGAAGGCAAGCTGGCAGTAGTTGCTGATGATGGAATTACCCAATTTGTGGTCCTAAGTGATGGCAGCTATTTTGGAGAAATCAGCATTCTTAATATCAAAGGTAGCAAAGCTGGCAATCGAAGAACAGCCAATATTAAAAGTATTGGATACTCTGACTTGTTTTGTCTGTCTAAAGATGATCTCATGGAGGCTTTAACAGAGTATCCAGATGCAAAGGCTATGCTGGAAGAAAAAGGCAAGCAAATCCTAATGAAAGATGGGTTGCTGGACCTTGAAGTTGCAAATTTAGGAAGTGATCCTAAAGATCTGGAGGAAAAGGTCAGCTACATGGAAGGAGCGATGGACAGATTACAAACAAAGTTTGCCAGGTTATTGGCTGAGTATGAAGCTGCACAACAGAAACTGAAAAAAAGACTTACACAAATCGAGAAAATATTGAAGCCGGTTATAGAGCAAGAATTCGCAGAATTAGAAGCAGCAGATCCATCCACAGATAAACCTGTGGAGTAAAACACTGGAGGTTGCCAATAAGACTTAGGGTCAAATCCTGCATGGGGCTGAATACATTAATTTCTAATCTTTGTAGGATCTGACTATTAAATATGAAAAATTATTTTTGAGGCAATGTGACTAATTTCCCACAGACAGCACATATTTGGCAGGTTTGGGGAAGAAAAAGAAGCACTGAGAATGAAGATGGGAGATAACACCTTGCTCTCGTACAAATGTGGTATTATCTGCTAATGCGTTATGTACTCTTTATGTAACACTGCTCTACAGCAAATGCATTCAGTCATATACTGGCAAATATTGAAAGTCTTGCTGACTATTTTAAAATCATTTCTTCATGTCTACTTATGGAAAGAAGGAAAGGTTTGGTAACGTATTATTTGAAATCAATATAGGCATGAATGATGATATTAAATTTGTGTAGAAACAAACACATTTTAATATCTATTGATTAACATAAGATTAATTAAGTAGGCGATATTGTATAAATAATTAGGTATATCTACAATGCAGATGTGAGTATTGAAGGCTGTAAGATTTGGAAAATCACTTCATTGGGTCCACCTTGGCTGATTTCTTGAAATGTAAGTGGGCAGTTTTAAATGATTCTTTTTGGAGGATCTTACATGCAAAGGCTGGAATAGAGAGGGGAGAAAATACAACTTTTTGAAAGCACTGGTATGAAAAATATGGATGGCTCAAAATCTAGCTGTTTCCAAATAATAACATATACATAACACCAAATGCTGTTCTGCTCCATGTAATCATATGGCTGCTCAACATGTACTATCAAGTTTTTAAGATCTGTGCTTAAAAATTTTAAAGTCCCTAATGTAACAGTTGTGGATGCTGGCAGAGTGCAAGGGGCAGACATGACAGAGGCCAAAGTTTCCCTACAGCATCTTCTGTTGCTGCTGTTGGGGAAAGAATACAATGACTAAATAGGTTAATTTTTTCATTGATGAGGTATTTCTTTCTTCTATTCATAACTATCAAGATAGTAACATCTAGTGTTTCATATGTCAGATACATTTTCAACTGCTTTAAGAAGCATTATCTTCTTGGATTTTTTCCCTTATTTATGTCTTTTTCCATTGGCAGAAATTGATTTTATTAGTTGTGGTCTCAGCTGGGTATTTTCAGCTGATTATTTTCAGTACACTTTGATCATAGCCACTTTAATGTTGGAAAAGTTTGGTGACAGGGAGTGAAGAAAAGGATTGCAAGGACAGAATGGATAATTCTGGATTTAGGGCAACTGGACTGCCAAAAATACATGTGTGAATATTACAACCACTCGATAATACCTCTATACTTTAATTCTTCTCCTTAATAAGATGGAGATATTATAAATTGGATCGCTTGTAAAGTACATTCTTTCCCGTTTTTTGTTTGTTTGTTTTTTTTTTTTTTTTTTTTTTTTAGACTGCTAGAAAATCTATGACTCCTGATTTCACTGCAAAGATTAAATGTCATGGAGTAATTAATGTATAGGATATATATGGAACAACAAGGATAAATGTAAATATGAAATGGCTGTTCATTCACTGTTAATCCTGCGCTTTGAATGACAAATGGCATAATGTGCTAGTGAGGGGAAAGAGTATGTCATCATTTCATTAAAGACTCTATATGTGCACACAAGAATAAGTGTTATTCTGGCATTTAACTATGTTGTGAATGTTGGACTTTGCAATCAGCATTCTTTCTATTCAGGTCTTGAATATAATTTGCAATCTGTATGGCAGCAGCATACTATAGGGCTGCATCATATTTTACTAGGCACTTAGGAATCACCTTTCTCCTTTGTTGAAGGGTTTAAGACTTTGTATTAGAGAAATGTGTGATAGTGTAATAAGCTTTAATTAATAAAGGCAGAGATCTACTGTTCACATTTTTTTCTTTTATTGATCCTTCAGTCTATGACACAAGTTGTAATCACTAGCTGCCTCCTTCTTGAGAATAAAAATTCTTTGGTTTAAAACACTTCAAAATAAACCAGAACTGACCTACAGTAGTTTACTTACTATTTTCAGACTCTTTGTGATTGGAAATCTTGTATATTTAACTTTTATAAGCATGTATTTTCTGAAAAAAACCACCAAATTGTGCAAGACAAAAGTGTTATAAGGAAATGTCAATAAAATTATAACTATTTCAACTTGCACTTATTTGTCACAACTTTTCAGGAGGCACACACATTCCTCAATATTTTTTTCTGTGCAGTAAATCCTTCTGGATATACTTCAGTAAAGTTTCTATAATACACTTCGTGGCCGACTCATACTCTGAAGAGGAGCTGTGAAGAAAACCCACACAAGAGCCACACACTGCAGAAACGGCTGCCGGAAATTTACTCTGGAGAAAAGGAGGCTGAGGGGAAACCTTATCGCTCTCTACAACCACCTGAAAGGAGGTTCTAAGTGAGGTGGGTGTTAATCTCTTCTCCCAAGTGGTAGGAAGCAAACAGCCTTGTGCCAAGGGAGGTTTAGATGGGGTATTAGGGAAAATTTCTTCACCGAAAGGGTTGTCAAGTAATGGAACAGTCTGCCCAGGGAAGTGGTGGAGCCACTATCCCTGGAGGTGTTTAAGGGATGTGTAGATGTGGCGCTTAGGTCGTGCCTTACTGGTGAACTTAGCGGTGCTGGGTTAACAGATGGGCTTGATGATCTTAAAGGTCGTTCCCAAGCGAAATGATTCAGTGATTGACACGAGAGGCAACTGCTTCTGCGGCCAGAGCGGCAGGTAAAAACAACTTCAAGCATTAAGTGATAGAGACTCCGGCCTGGGTATTAACAAGCGTTTTTCTGATGATGAGGCGCGCAGCGGCTTCCCGCGCCCCTGCCCACACAG